CCCGCACACCCTTACACACCCACCCCTGCACACCCACCCCTACCCACACCCTTACACACACACCCCTGAACATCCACCCCTACACACCCTTACAGACCCACCCCTGCATACCCACCCCTACACCCACACCTACACCCACACCCCTACACACGCTTACCCCTACACACACACCCCTACACACAAAATACACCCCCCTACACACCCCTACAACCCCCACACCTAGATACACACCCCTACACACACAATACATGCACACACAGACACATGGACACACACACCCCACACACCCCTACCCCCCCCCCCATGCACCCCTACACACACACACAGAGTACATACTCCACACCTCCTACACACCCACCCTACACACACACACACACCCCTACACACACAAACTCCTCCACACACAATATGCACAGACGCATACACACAGACACACACACACACGTTCACCCTACCTTCCCCCCCTACAAACACAGACACACACCTCCACATATGGACACACACACACACACACACACACACTCTCACATACAGGCACATACCCCCCACATGAACACGCACACTCATACCCCTACGTGGACACGCACACGCACACATTCGCACCCCCCGCCCCCGGACTCACCCTCGCACACAAATACACCCACACCCGCACACCCCCGTGCATGGACACACGCTCACACACACCCCCACCCTCCGAGAGACACTCACGCGCGCGGGGGGCGGGGGTCCGGGGCCCCCAGCCCCGCGCGGCAGGTAGCCAGCCCTCGCTTACAGGCAGGAAAAGGAGAGCGCAAGCAAGCCTGGCTGTGAGAAAAGGAGGCGATTACCAGAAAAAGCGTGTGAAAGCAGAGCTGTAAGTCTCACTGCCTGCCTGGCTCCCGGTGACCGGGAAGGAGCGCGGCGCGCTCAGGCAGCCGAAGGCAAACGGCAGCACTGGCCTCCCCTGCCAGCCGGCAGCAGAGGCGCGATTTTTAATCTTCTCTCCGTGTTTTGTTTTAGCCTGGCTGTGAGAAAAGGAGGCGATTACCAGAAAAAGCGTGTGAAAGCAGAGCTGTAAGTCTCACTGCCTGCCTGGCTCCCGGTGACCGGGAAGGAGCGCGGCGCGCTCAGGCAGCCGAAGGCAAACGGCAGCACTGGCCTCCCCTGCCAGCCGGCAGCAGAGGCGCGATTTTTAATCTTCTCTCCGTGTTTTGTTTTAATGTGATTTGGTTCTTGCTTTCTCTCACTTTCAACTCCCAAGAATCAGTTAAAAGAGTTTTCAGCTAAAAAACACTCGTCACTATTGCTCCTTCTGCTTTCGGGCACTGATAACTTAAACTCAATTCTCCTTATAGCGTTTTCTTGATTTATTTTCACTCGCTTGAAGTTTGGAAGCAAGGTATTTTAGAGACAGAGGTTCAGAAGAACAATTGGAGAAAGCATGAAGTTTGCACAGAAAGTTAGCTTTTGAACCTCCACCCCATTTTACCTCCCTTCCAAATACCTAGGTAGCATTTGCATTTTT